TAATTAATTTTTTAAATCAAGTTTAATTATAACAATTTTTTATAAATTACAAATTAGCACATAATTATATCTATAAAACTAATATTTTACTTCTTTTGTATCATGTAATATGAGCATATTTTTGTAGATACTAGAATTTAAGATAAAATATAATTAATAAGTAATTAAGAAGTGTACTAGTAAAAATAATTATTGTATAGTAAAAATAATTATAGATTAAAATTAAGATAACTAAATAGTTTAATTAATATTAAAAAATTATAAATTATAAAATATAAACTATTTTTATAATATACATAGTTTATATAATTTTTGTTATAGTGTTATTATTTATACACTAAAACTATTGTTTATCTTTATTGAATAAATAACTAATGTATAAAGTATTTGATTATTCCATATATTTTCTCTTTCCTCTTCTGCTTGACCAAACACAAAAATATTAGTTTTTCTGGCCTCCCATATGAACCAAACACACTGTTACCATTTTAATATTTTTTCCTCTTTTAGCCTCCCCTCCCTTCTATTAAAATCCCTCTATTCCCCTCTCATCATTTGAATCAAACAGACCCTTGGAGATTGGCTGAAAACCTTCCCTTCCCACACTGCAAAAAATGCTAAAGAGAACGCATATACATATTTAATTAAATTCTAGAAGAGCCAGGAAATAATTTTAAAATTTAAAAATTTACAAGCCTCTAACTTTTTTGTTTGTTTTTCTCATATGTTTAAATATCAATAAAAATAGACAACTAATATAATTACGGCGGGGGCAGCACCCACCAAGATGGAAAGGCTTATGAATTAAAGGATTACAATTTTGTGAATATTTTTTTATCCCACAATGATGGCAAAGGCTCATTTTTCAATTGTTCATATATACTAATTTTCATATACAAATTACACGCTTTAAAGCCACTCAGTTTAACACACCAACAACCAACACATAATCAATTTGGCTGTTCTTTAGTATGCCAACAAGACTGCTTGCATCATTCATAGAATCCTAATAAAGGGATCAATGAACAGTCCGCACAAAAGGAAAAAACATTTATTTTGGAGCAGAAACTAACTTAACAGAAAAATAAAAAAACTATCTAATGCTGCCAATCATTCAAAATAAAGTCACTTAATAAGGTTCTGTAAGAAGAGTTTGTTATCCGAATTCAAACCACCAATTTGAAGGCAACCGCACTGTATACTTAAAATTTACTACATTTGTCCGGAAGGAGTCAATAATTTTATCAGAATTGCAGAAATAACTATAGGTTAGACCAAACACACACTCAGATGTTCATAAGACCTTTAGCCAAAGCCTTTTTAAGAAATATATCCACACAAAAGCACATGCAAAATTGATTCATAACTACATAAAATAAAAGTACACACCATAGAAGTATTCATCCACAAATGTAATAGATGCGTTCCAAGCTGGCAAATGAGAATAATGTCCCCAACAGTTTTCCATAGTTTAGCATAAATTTCAACACCATAAATTGCCACATTACCACAAATGGATGCTCTTCAAATCAATGAAGCCTCTGACACAGGCACCCTGATCTTCTTTCTCCTGATTATCGACATTCAGTTTGTCAGCAGAAACCTGATCCAATTTGCAGGATACATTTATGTCGATCATTCTCTCCAATCTTTCAATGTCAGCATTTTTTTCTTTAGGCTGGCAATCAAAGTTTTCTGAAGTCAAAGCAAAGGATGACATTGCTGGCGGATGATCATCGAGCTTGTCTTTTCTGTCCTTTTTAAGATCTTGCAGGATCACAACCTCGTCTGAAGAGGTTTTATTCAAATTAATATCGACCACAGGTTTTGATCCAGCCTCACGAAGTCCCTTGGGAAATTTCCCAAAAAGATGATTAGCATATTCAACTAGTAATCCTTTGGAGCCTGGGGCAGGCGTATTGTAAAATGCATTTTGCTTAGACTTGTTGATTCTCAAACCAGGATTCAAGCTCGAACTATAATTCACTTGCCACTTCATACCAAAAGGCTTTTGGCTATGACAAGCAGACGAAAAAGTGAGGGTATCTCAAGTGATTAAGGACCCCACCTTCACTCTCTATTACTAAGAACCCAGCTTTCATATCCTCAAATAATTTTTTTTCCGCAATACTTCTTTAAGTTCTGAATTTTGCAACACAAAAAGTTTAGACTCACCCTCCAATCCAGTTAATGCTTTAAATATTCCTTGCAGTATTTGATTTATACCCAAAGCCAAGATGTGTCCACTCACACAAACGAAGAAATATGTTCAACACCATTCATGGTGCAGTAATAAAATCTATTTTCAATATCCAGCCCAATCCTAATTTCACTTAATCCCGTGCCTCATCTCATTCGACTTTCCTTGTTTCATTGCTCCAACAAAAGCATCCGAAAGAAACAAGAGTAAATAAAAGAGGAAAATCAACTATTATGACACAATTGAAAATAAAAGTTTAGAGAGCAACACAAAACTTAAAAAATATAAAAATAAAAAAGGCTTTGTCCTAATTTTAAAATTCTATTGTCCCATAACTTTAAATACAATTTATAAAATAAATATTATTTTGTTTTTTAATATAATTTATAAAGTTTTTGTAAGAAAATCAAAAATTAATAGTAATAGGATCTATCAAAATTTTAGTATTGGAAAACAATGCAAAAGTCAAAAGCAAGTTAAAGTTTTACTTTTTATATTAAACTATTTAGGAGAAAACTGAAAATCAAACTTCTAAGCAACATAGAACTAATCCAGTAAAATCCGAACTGAAAATCCTAATCGCAATTGCGCAGTGGTGGAGGGATTTATACGAAGAGAACACTAATCAATGGTTCCATTCTGTTGCGCTCTTATTTTTCACCCTTTATCTATTTTTATAATATTGAAACGAAGTTTCTAGATATTTTTATACTCTAATAATATTAATTTACTTTTATTTATTTAGGCTAATCTATTTTAAATTTTTCTAATGTTTCTATATCATCTAGTATTTTCTTTAAGAATAGTTCATACAATATTCCTATTCAATACTTTGGTATATTATTTTAAAAAATAATAATAAAGGCAAAGATATAAGGTTTGTTTTGTGAAATGCATATTTTTTCATTGTCAAGTATAAAAAACAGTATAGTTGATGCAAAAGTAACGAGTGTGTAATAATTTTTTTTTAAGAATTATATTTGTTTGTATAGGTAAGGTTGTTGTCTTTGCCGCGTGGCGATGTCCCAGTTAATGCTCTTGTGTCGATATGTAAGTCACGTAGAATAATTTAACTAGCATGATCAATTTTGAATTATGCCATTTCAAGGTACAAATATCGTCAATTTGTCGTGTCTGCAAACTTTATTTCTCAACGTTCCTACCTTACCGGAGGGATGACGCAATCTAGATTGAGCCGACTAATTTTCTTCTAGTAAATTTATTATGCTAAAGCCAGTTTTATAACCGTAAAGTTGATAATTGAGAAGGAATGGCAGTTAAGTCGATAGTTGCGTTATGTGTCACAGAGAGAAGATAACTTTACATGTTTGCACACGATCATATTAATTAATTATACCTAGAAGGATAGTTCCAAATGTTCGTAGGTCATAAGAGTTCCATTATATGATAAAAAAATCGCAGATTAGGCATGTTATCGCATATTTTATACTTACATATCGCACATATAGTTCATGAAGCCGTGTCAACGGTAACTATCTCAAGATTTTATTTGCAGATTTATCGATCAACATTTGTTAGTTAGTTCATTTTGTTTCTCAACCTTATCCGGTACTTTCAATATAATACTTGCAGGATCACTTGGAAAAGAAGTATCGAATCAAGTCTCAGAATCAAGAATTTTCCCCAAGGTCAAATAAGCAGGCCGAATAGTCAGATCTTCCAGTCGAGCTTCTGGAATGGATCCTCTCCCCGGGATAATGTATTACTCATGGTCAAGTAAACGAGTTCTACGGCCCACTTAAGCACACGTCGAAAAAAAAACTAGAAAATTAAAAACATATGAATACAAAGTCTACATAGTTAATAAACAGGGCCAAGAGTTGGATCTTCCAGTCGAGCTTCTGGAACGGATGGACAACTTTTAGCAAGAGCAAGGTGAGCGGGGCCTATAATTTAGGAGGGCCCATGTTTAAAATTTTTAACCTATTATTAGATATATTAAATTTTAAATTTTATTATATATATTCATAATTACTCGATTCAATTTTAATTCTAAAGTTACAATTTGAACCCGAATGAAATATTTTTCAATAGCCGTATCTCTTATTCGTAACCATGCTACTTATTTTTCTAAATCGCAAATCCAATCTTCGTCCAACTATCCATTCATAACCATGCTACCTATCTTTTTAAATGGCAAATCCAATCGTGGTCCAACTACCATAGATTTTTTTGGGAGTGATGCATTTATAGTTCATAGTTATTATTATTATTATTATATTCTTAGTATTGTTATTATTATTGGATTATTATTTTTCAAATAGTCAAAATATTATTTATTAACTTTTGCCCCGATTTTTAATACAATAGTAATAATCATAAGATTGTTAATGTATATAATAGCACAAAATTACATAACAAAATTAAAAATCAAATCCCATAAACTAAAATTTTACTTCCTAAGCGACGAACTCTGTTCCAAATGCTTGTAGATGCATCCGCTCGAATGCTTCCAAGACATCCCGATTCATACGGCCAATGTCGTCCCTATCTTCCATCACCGGAACCTTACTACTGCCGATGTCCATCCATACGCCGTCGAGAAATTCCATCTTCGAACGCTCCAACTCTCGCGTTTTCCTATAGAACTTCTTGAGTTTCATGGAATAGACGAGACAGTGCCTCCCATTGTCCACACGCTCCGGGAAATAAATGCAGTTCTTCATCATGTCGGGAAGATCATCCCTGATGAGGGATGTCGTGGTGCTTGCGAAAAATGTTGCGCCGTCTAAGTGCTTCACCCTCTTCCATGTGTCGCTGAGCCCATCCGACATGTAGACTATGGGTTGCGCCACGCCATAAGTGCGCAGTAGAAAGAATCGCCGTCATACTCTGCCATGAACACGCTTTTCCTCCAGCCGTAAGACGGGACAGATCGAGCGCATCGAAGGGGCTCGTATGGGAGAGCTCTCAAACTGCATTTTACCGGATCAAACTCGCCGATATAGCCGTCGATATTCATACAATAGAAGTTCCCGTTGCGAACCACGACATTTACCCAAGTGGAAGTGATGGATCGATGTCTTTTGCTATACTCGACATTGGTCCACGCCATATCCCCTGGGCGCCAAATAACGACATCGGGAGAATCATCCGGGAAGGTAACAAGCAGCAAGAATACAGTGTAGTTTGGCGAAGTTGGTGGGGCTGAGAACGCAGCAATATCGACCAGATCATGAGATAGTATCTTTGGGAGCTCAACAACCTCATTTGATTGAGGATTGTAGAAATTCATCGCGTGGATATCATCATCGTGGAACAACATCCAACCGCCCTTGGCGTAACAGACTACGCCGGGAGGTCGATTTGGAAAGATGATCCTATTTGAGAGGCAGCGGGACAGGTCACAGATATCAACCAACTCATTGTTCTCTCGAACGTGCACATTCGTTGGAGGCCGGTTGTTTTTTTTGAGAGACTTTGCTATGTCTCCCCATTTCCGACATACGCCGGTAGCTCGAGCTCTGTCCCACGAGCGTAAGGAGGACATGATTTTTACTAAAAGCTCAGCAGGAAGGTCTAATTCCAGCTTTTCTCGTTTGTGGACAGTTTCGGATGAGGATCTGAAACTGGAAGAATCAAACCATCTTGAGAATTTACAGATCTTCCAATTGTCATAAATCAGCTAAGCACAACAAACTAATGATGAGTCCAAATCAATTCCTTAAAAATCAACGACATTAATGATTTGGAAATTAATTGGAACAATTCAAACACAACTGATGCTCAGATGGACCTTAACAAAGAATTATTAAACAAAGAAAAACCAATCGATCTATTAAGACGAAGCAGATCCAAACCCTACAAGAACAGCACACGGAATCCAACAGACTAAATTCAAACAACAATCAAGCACAGGTAAAGAAGAAAACACGTAAAGTGCAGTTACTGATCTGAATCAAGTACTAATTTACGAAATGAGGAAACCATACTCTTTCATCGACCGATTGCTTCTTCTTCCAGACATGATCACGAGATGAGATGAGATGAGCTGAGCAGCGGAAAACACGAAGCGATTTCAGTGAGGAAGACAGATTAGAGTGATGTTAGCGCTTCCTTCCACTTATATAGCGAGTTCTGGAAATGACCGGTGCATTACACCGGGTTCACTCCACACTTTTTTTTTTTTTAATTAATGTAATTTAGCATAATAACATTGAAAAGCTAGGGCTTTTAATATATAATACAGGTAATTTGATTTTAGTTGCCATTTATATAAAACGGTTTTGTAATACTATAATATGGGTAATTTTATTATATATACATATATATATTTATTTCAAACATTTTCATTTCATATTTTAGTCACACTCATATATTATTCTTTTTTAAAAGACATTTTATGATAAAATTATATTAAAAATCAAACATTTAAATTGCTCAATTATTTTTGATACTAAAACAGTTAACTTATATATGTGTAGATGCTTCAAACAAGTTTTAGTAAAATCATATATTAAATATAGAGTGTATATATTTTATTTAGGGTTTAGTGTGTTTAAAATTGATTTATCGTGGAATTTGTTTGATTCGATTTGCACATTTTAAACCCACATTGAGGTTTAGGGCAGCTTCACTAGTTGATCAATTTATTTTTGTTTGTTTATATATTAATTTGGTATTATACTTTGAGTATCACTTGTGTGCTTTAGTTCACTTGCCCTTCGACTGCGGAGCATTTACTCCCAATTGAAATCTTCCATTTAAATTTAAAACTATTACCACATTCTCATTTAGGTTTTAAAATTTCCTACAAATAATTCGACTTTACAATGAATGTGGTGAATAAATCGAAACAATAGATGCTCAATCCGAGTTCATCGAATTTTATGTCTTACGTTTTATTTGGAATGAAATTTTTTAATATACTAGGTTAATAATGACATCTTTATTGGCATGACATTCCTAGTCTTTTAAAAGGGGATTGATTATGATTTACACAATTAGAGTCTTCTAGAAGATTAATAATTTGTTGGTAAAGCCGACATTTTTGTGCGAAATAATTTATTTTGATACATGCCCTCTTCACGTGTATAGTTTGTCTTATAGAGTACCATTCTTCCAGTTGTTCATATAAAATGGGTTGACTCATTTGATCAATAAATGCATAATGACATTTTTACGTCATGGAAGGCTACATAAAAGATATAAGGTGGATTAGTTTCATGAATATACTCAAGGTGTCGTATTAAGAGAATAATATTTGTAATAACAAATATGTTTTATTCATGTCCATTATTCAGGAGAGGAAAGCGACAAATCGTTAGATTCGGGAATTTATTCTTGAAGAAATGAATGCCCATCTAACAACTTCTAGCTTTATAAAGAGCGATTGAACGTTTTATTCATCTAATTAAGTAATTTCCAAATACATTTAATGCTTAAATGAAGGATGTATTAGTTTTAAACAAACCATTTGCGAATAGAACTTCATCAAAATTATGATGCCATTGCTTGTTGGTTTGGTTGAAACCATATAATGACCTAACAAACTTACACACCATGTGATAATTTCCGGGTTCAACAAAATCTTACTATTCCTTCATGCACATGTCCTGCCCCAAATTGTCTTATAGGAAAAGTATTTTAGCATTCATTTGATTGATAACATGATTGTCAATTGCAGTTAAAGCAATCAACAATCTTATAACTGTGATACGAGCAACGGATGAATTGGTATTGAAGTAATCGATAACTTCTTTTTATTCAAAATTTTGAGTGACCAATCAGACCTTAAACTTAGTCGTCGTTAAATGTGAAGTAACTGATTATATAGTTAGGATCTGATAAGTGGTTGTTTACATCTGTAAACACTAAAAATATATGTCTAAAATCAATTAAATATCATGTATTTTAGAAGAAAATAAAATTCCAATAAAATAAATATATGGTTTTTAATTATGCACACATGTTAATTTTTGTACAATAAATATCAACCATTAATGCAAAAATCTGCTTAAAATGGAAGATATCGTACAAATATTACGTGCATAAATAGAGCCATAATAAATTTGGCAGCAAAATAAATTAATTTTGTCAATAAATGAAGTATATAAATTAATATCTTCTAAACAAGACAATGATATAAAGATCTTGTCAATAAAGAAAATATATAAATTAATATCTTCCAAAAAGGGCAATGATATAAAGATTTTGGCGAGAAAGGAAGGTGCACAATCAAATCCGTCAAGAATGGAAAACGGCATCCAATGGAAAATGAAAGATTATAAAATCTTTCCATCCACGTAGCACCATCCGAAAGGAAGCCAATGCCACCCTCCCCTATAAATAGGAGTCATGGTAAGTTCATTTGACACACCGAAGTTTCATCGAGGATTCAAGCAAAGGGGTAAGTCTCTAGACTCTCTCTGTATTGTTCTTCATGTTCTTCGTGTCCTTCGAAGCGTTCTTCGTCGAAAGTCACTAATTTGGACAAATGCTTCAATATTGGTTGACGAATCGATGAAATTAACGTTCTTCGTCGTATGTCCAAGCTGGAGGAAGGATCAAAGCTCTCAAAGCCGTCAAGGTGTTCGTCAAAGCCAAGGGAAGGTCTTCAAAGTTTCTCTCAAAGCTTCGAGGTGTTCATCGCGTTCTTCACCAAAGCATCAAGTCGGCCCTCTTCGATCCAAAAGTCAAAGGGACATGCCACCAAAAGCGTTATGGAGCACTAAATCCACCTCCTCAAAGATCAAAGCTACGGATCGTTCAAAGAAGACACCAAATCCAAAGCCGATGATCAAATCGCCTACATGGAGACCAAAGCCCTCCGAACGGCGGAAAAGGCAAAGCAAAGATCAAAGCCGCGGATCGTCTAAAAAAGACACCAAATCCAAAGCAGATGATCAAATTGCTCACGTGGAGACCAAAGTCCTCCAAAAGCGGCAAAGTCAAATCAAAGATCAAAGTCCCGGACCGTCCAAATAAGACATCAAGTCCAAAGCTTAAGATCAAATCACCCGCACGGAGACCAAAGCCCTCCAAAAGCGTCAAAGACAAATCAAGGATCAAAGCTGCAGATCGTCCAAAGAAGACATCAAATCCAAAGCTGAGGATCAAATCGCCCACACGGAGACCGAAGCTCTCCAAATGGCGGAAAAAGCAAAGCAAAGATCAAAGCCGCGGATCGTCTAAAAAAAGACACCAAACCCAAAGCAGATGATCAAATTGCTCACGCGGAGACCAAAGCCCTCCAAAAGCCGGCAAAGTCAAACCGAAGACCAAACCTCTTCGGATCAAAGAAGCCATCGAAAACTAAGTTGGAAAACAAATCGACCCGGAAGGAGAATCAAAGAACCCATTTAGAGAATAGGACCGGCTTTAAATTCGAATAAAATATAATTTGTACAAATTTTGTGTTTATTAAAAATAACACAATTTTTTGTCCACAACATCATATAACATTTTTATATTTTTATGATTATATATTTAATATTTTCTAAAATTGAATATACTCATATCTTTAAATTTTATATTTTATAAATAAATATAATTTATACATTTATCCGCAAACATGAGTGCCTAGGCTGTGATACCATTTCGGATGTGCAGAATGACCATTTCACCTAAAAGTTCAAACTATTAGGGGAACACATCATTAATATATTTATCCGCTAATGTGAATCCTCAACAGTTAGGGTTTATGTTTTCATTTTGTATGCACCTCGTACTGTTTTTGTTATCTAATGTTTTTTCTTTTCAAATAATATTCTTCTTCTAAACCATTATATTCGAACTGTATGCCATTGGATGAGCTGCAATTATCAATTGGAAGCTAGGTTGAGTTCACTGTAGATAAAAAACGGCTGTGATAGATACTAATTTAGCCCAATTTCCGCATACATTATTTTTTTTTTTTTGGAAGGGAAATAGCGATGTGCTGAATGTCTTAGGGCTTTTTTGTTTACTTAAACGCTGAGGTTTCTGAAAAGAAGGGTCTGAATCATTGATCCAGCCAATCAATTTGTAGCTCATTTAATTATGTTAGTTTTACAACGGTGTAACAATAAAGATGACATATGAGATCGAACATTCTTTTAGATATGTGTCCTCTTCATTGTGCTTTTGTGTAAAGGTAAGTTTGTTGTCTTTGGCACGCGGCGATGTCCTAGTTAATGCCCTTGTGTCGATATGTAAGTCACGTGGCTTCCAGTTATACCTCAGAATAATTTGACTAGCATGATCAATTTTGGATTATGCCATTTTGAGGAACAAATATCGTCAACTTGTCTTGTCTTCAAACTTTATTTCTCAATATTCCTACCTTTCAAGAGGGATGACACAATCTAGATTGGACTGACTAAATATTCTTTTAGTTCATTTAATATGTGAATGCCAGCTTTATAACGGTAAAGTCGATAATTGTGAATGAATAACAGTAAATTCTATAGTTGCTTTATATGTTACCGAGATACGATAACTTTATATGTATGCACACGTGTATATCCGATCATATTAATTGTCCCTATATACACTACAAAATATTATCTAATTAGCTATTGTTAGAATATGAAACTGAAATTCTCTATTTCAATCATAAGAATACGTACAAATTTATAGTGATATACAAATCGTCTAAATAAGACAAGAATTCTTCGAATCTCGTAAATAAGATAACTACCATAATATAATATATTGCTTCTAAATATATTTTAACACCCTTTTTCAAACTCAAGATATGATCGAACAAACTTGAGTTTGTCAAAAGTGACCGAAAAAAGATATAGTCGAGATCTTTCACGTACAGATTTGAGTTCACCAAGATTGACTGAAAGTGATGTAGCCATCCACTGGATCAGAGTCAGAGGCAGAACTCTTAACACCATTAGAGTTGGAAACAAGATTCGCTCGCTCACAATGGAACTAGAGTCAAAAACAGGACTCGCTCACTCTATAGAGCTAGAGTCGGAAACAGGACTCGCTCGCTCACAATAGAGCTAGAGTCAAAAACAGGACTCGCGCGCTCACAACAGAGCTAGAGTCGGAAACATGACTCACTCGCTCTGAATAGAGTTAGAGTCGAAAACAAGACTCTCAAGGGCGTTAGAGTTGAAAGTAGACTATGTCAGTGGAGTAGTAGAAACAGAAACAACATGAAAATAACATCATCATGAATAGAAACAAATACATCAATAAAATATAAATATATATACGGGATATAACGGGTCATAGAACTACCCGGAGAGAATTTTGCTCTGATACCATGTTAGAATATGAAACTGAAATTCTCTATTTCAATCATAAGAATACGTACATATTTATAGTGATATACAAATCGGCTAAATAAGGCAAGAATCCTACGAATGTCTTAAATAAGATAACTACTATAAATATAATATATTACTTCTAAATATATTTTAACAGCTATAACATTTTTAGGTACGAAATATTTTTGTAGTTAAAACGTGTCATTTTGCAACAAATATTAATTTCATCGCTAAAATAAATTATATACTACAAAATTAATTTTGTCACTCAAATTTTTTTGCTAGAAAATTCAATTTTCATAGCAAAAAGGTTTGGCTACAAAATTATTTTCATAGCTAAAATCATTTGGCTAAAAAAATTATGCATATTTTGTTGCTAAATTTCTTTTGTTATGAATTTTATTTTTATAGTTAACGAGTTTTAGCTACAAAATCACATTTTCGTAGCTATATCTATTTTCTTAACATTCATTGCAACGAACTTATTTTTTTGTTGCTAAAGTCATATATGTCGCCAAAAGACATTTATTAAAGCGGTATAGGCAACGGAATGTGTTTCGTCGCAAAAACGTTTTTGCTATGAAGTCATTACTTTTTGCGACAAAATATTTTGCAGCTAAATTTCAAATTTTTTTTTTAATTTTTTTGGAGTGATAGAAGGATAGTTCCAAATGTTCGGTGGTCAAAAGTGTTCCATTTTATAATAAAAAAGTCGCGAATTAGTGCATGTCTGTCGCACATATAGTTCATGGAGCCGTGTCAACAGTAGCCATCTCAAGATTTAGTTTGCATATTTATCCATCAAAATTTGTTAGTTCATTTTATTTCTCAATCTGATCCATTATTTTCAATATAATGCTTACAGGATCTCTCAGACAAGAAGTATCGAATCAAACCTCTGAGAATTTTCCCCAAAGGTCAAATAAACAGGCCAAAGTATGCCACAAATGGATGGCTGTGGCGAAGTCTGTCCCAGCAGCCAACAATCACCCATGATCGTGTATTACTCATGAATGAATGAAATAAACGAGTTTTACAACCCACTTGAAAGAAATGAAAATATATGAATACATAGGAGACTACATAGGTAAATATAGTCGCAGAAAATGACATAATAAAACTGAAAATAAAATCCCATGAACTAAAATATTAGCAAAGCATATGCCGTTACGTCCTAAGCAACAAGCTCCGTTCGAAATGATGAGTAAAAGTTCCAACTTCTCGACATACACAGCTAGCTCGAGCTCTGTCCCCAGAGCATAACAAGGACATGATTCTTTCTACAAGCACTCCAGGAAGGTCTAATTCCAGCTTCTCTCGTCCTTGGACAGTTTTGGATGACGATCTGAAATTGGAATAATCAAACCAGTGTGTGAGAATTTACGGATCTTGCAACTGCCATAAATCAACTAAGCACAACAAATGATGAGTCAAAATCAATTCCATAGAAATCAACATTCACGATTTCAAAATTAATTAATTGGAACAACTCAAACACAGCTGATGGCCAGATCGGCCTTAAAAAAGAATAATTAAACAAACAAAAACCAATAGATCGATCATTAATGAACGAGGCATTTCCAAACCCTACACAGCAATGCCCAAAGGCAACAACAGCACATTGAATCCACCAAATTAAATTAAAGCAATGAACAATCAACCACAGCTAAAGAGGAAAACACAGAAAAACTGCAGCTACTGATCTGAATCGAGTGCTAATTAATCTACGAAATGAAGAAACCATAAGCTTTCATGGATCGATTGCTCCTCCTTCCAGACATGATTGCGAGATGAGATGAGCTGAGCATCGGAAAACACGAAGCGATTCAACCGAGGAAAACTGATTCTGTAGAACTCTCACTAGTGGCAATAGGACGTCGCGCTTCCTTATTTATATGGTGACTTCTGGAAATGGAAATGCTACCCCGTGACCTGTGCATTACACCAGGTTCTCTCCGCAGACATTTTTTTCTTTTTTTTTCAATAATTAAAATATAATAGAATAACAAATGGTAGGGTTTTTAATAAGTAATACTAGCAATTTGATTTAATTAGTTGCCATTTATTTCGAACGGCTTTGTAATAATAATACAAGTAACTTGCTTACTTACTGTCTATATTTAATTTCAAAAATTTTCATTTCAATTGTAGTTACACTAATATATTATTCTTTAAAAGATTATGATAAAAAATAATTTTAACAATTTTTAAATTACAGAATTATTTTTGTTACTAAAACAATAAATTTATATATGTGTCGTATGCTTAAAACACTAAAATTATATATTAAATAAACGGTATATATTTTATTTAGGGTTTAGTTTGTTTAAATTTTAATTTTCGTTAAATTTATTTGATTCGGTTTGCACATGCATTTCAAATCTACAATAGGGTTTAGGTCAGCTTCACTTATTGAACAATTCATTTTTGTTTGTTTAAATATTTTGTATTACAATTTGAGTTGTTTTAGTTCATTTGCCCTTGATCATTATAACTCCCCAATTGAATTTTAAAATTATTACCATATTCTCATTTAGATTTTAAAAATTTTCAGAATTAATTGAACTTTATAATAATGCAGTGAACATATGGAAACAATAGGCGCTCAATTGGATCGGAGTTCATGGAATTTTATGTCTTATGTTTTATTTGAAATGAAAATTTGAAGTAAAAGTCGAAAAACACAATAAGGGCACACATCGAAGCGAGGAATTTCTTCGAAAATTTTTCGAAAAACACTACATATATTTTATTTTAATAATTTTTTCAAAAAAGACTATTCTATCAAATAATTATTTATTAACACTGTACATCACAATAAACATAAAATTTTTACTATTTTCCAAAATTTAAAACTTCAAATATCTTCAAGAACATGCAATTGAGTCCAAAATTCCAATTAAATTGAATAAGATTCCTTCAATGTCACATTTAATTCAATATAAGTCATTCCCCAATAAATCGGTCACAAAATATTTCCAGTATATATGTCTGTTCATGTTATAGGACCATATATATAAAAAAAACAATACAACTGAATTTATACACAAGGAGTTGGAGTCGATTCCGGAAGCCTCAGAAGAATTCGGAGAGGTCGTAGGGGGCATCGATCCATAAGTTCTCATCCGGCTGCTCGTTGCATAAATTGTAGCCTTCTTGCCGAGGGAAGAATCGTTTCTGCGTAAGGGAATATATAACGGGGCGCTTCCCGTAATATATCACCTTTGAGAAATAAATACTATTTCTCATTAGTTAACAAAAATGGTGAGGCCGCCGAGGTCTTCGATCTCCACCCACTCGTTTGCATCGCTGTCGAGCTTATGTACAAAAGGGTTTAAGAAGCGGGTAAGCGTATATCAAATAAATATCCCCGGCATGCTCTTCCATGTACATCGCCCGCTCGCCTATGTCAAGCAGGTGCCCTTATACACTCAAGTCGCTCGACGGGGACGACGAAGCAGGCACTATTATCGGGATCGTAACATGCCAATTGGCTGCTTTGGCTAAGACAGTAGAAGCGTCCGTTGCAAAAAGTCCATTGATTTGGACTGCGGCTGACGAACGGTTCCAGGTTCTCGAAATGGTTGACGGTCCACGCGGCACCCCCGAGGCGATATTTGCTGATTGTGATCACATGGGGCTGAAGCTGCATTAGCGTAATCACAATGCAGCCGGGAGTATTTGACGCGGCTGACAAGGCGGCTAATTTTTTCGGAAAATCCATTTTGGGCAATCCAACGGCCTTCTGAGTGTACAGGCTGTAGAGTGTAAGCGAAAGGCATACACGGCTGTAGAGGGACAACCAACAGTTCTTGCAGTAACAGATGAGTCTGTACTTTATCCCGGACTGCCGTAGGAAATGCGACTTGCGCTCAACCGGGTCGTAGAACTCGTTTGTTTTATTCATCCACAAGTGGTATATGATCCAAGGGTACATTGAAAATAATTAATTGAGAAACAAAATGAACTAACAAATGTCCGAATATAAATATGCAAATAAAATGTGCGATGTACATGTACAATTTATGCGGCCTAAATGCACTAATATCCGACCTTCTTACTCATAAAATGGAACTCTTATGACTTACGAACATTTTGGCACTTTCCGGTTTCGCTTTCCGCTGCCTCTTTCGACCCATGATTCCAGTGGCTCCTCCAAAAACCTAACACGGACGTGCCGGCACTCAGACACTGCTGCAGCTATTGACGCTGACAAGGGTTCTAGAACCTGTGACGTATTGGCGTGGTAGGACACACATATATATAGGACATGTACCTCGTATGTTCCGCCCACTCTAAATGACGTCGTATTGTAATATTTATTTATTTATTTTATTATGTTGTGTGAAAAGTAGCCTCGATGGTGTCGCCTGTCATTTTCTGAAGAATATTTGTCACTTTTCGATTTTCACTGTTTTTTATTATTTGAATTTTTTTATTAATAAATAATTATTTAATTAAGATTTTTTGTAATAAAACTTAGATGTTAAAAAATAGTAATATTATATATTTTTTTTAAAATGTAATTTTATGTTAGTAGATTTAGACTGAAAATACACCCAAAAGCTTAACAATCATAAAAATTGAACACTCATTTCACTCGAAATACACCCAAAAGCTTACAAAAAACTCAATCATGGCGCGAAGCAATGGACTCGAAAAACCCAATAAAGGCACACATCACAGCGAGGAATTTCTTCGAAATTTTTCTGAAAAAAGAAAAATTTTCAAATAAGTAACAAGTTAAACAGTTAAAATAAATCTTTGACATATCACCCTTCAATTAATTTCTTCAACTTTGGAAACAACAAATATAACTACAAAATTAAGCAATTAAAACATACTACATACATTTTATTTTAATGATTTTTCAAAAAAAAACTATTCTACCAAATAATTCTTTATTCTCAATATACACCGCAATAAACATTAAATTTATACTATTTTTCAAAAATTAAAACTTCAAATATCTTCCAAAACCTGCAATGGAGTCCAAAATTCCAATTACAATAATAAAATTCCTTCAATGTCACATTTAATTCAATATAAGTCATTCCCCAATCAATCAGGCCACAAAATATTTCCAAAATACATGTTAGTTCATGTTATAGGACAATAAAAGGAAAAAAAAAAAAGAAGACAAAATTACAACTGAATTTGTACTCAAGGTGTCGGAGTTGATTCCGGTGCGCGCCAAGGCTTTGAAGCCTAAGAAGAATTCAGAGAGGTCATCGAGGATATCGATCCATATGTTCTCGGCTCCTCTTTGCATAAATTGTAGCCTTCTTGCCGAGGGAAGAATCGCTTCTGCGTAAGGGAATATATAACGGGACGCTTCCCGTAATATATCACCTTCGAGAAATAAATACTATTTTTCATTATACCTATCATATCTGTCCGAACAAATGAGCTAATATAGTTAGCAAAAATGGTGAGGCCGCCGAGGTCTTCGATCTCCCACCCACTCGTTTGCAGAGTGTTGAGCATATGTACAAAAGGGTTAAGAAACGGGCAAGCGTATGTCAAATAAATATCCCCGGCATGCTCTGCCATGTACATCACCCGCTCGCCTATGTCAAGCGGGTTCGCCCTTATGCACTCATGTCGTTCGACGGGGACGACGGAGCAGGCACTATTATCGGGATCGTAACATTCCAATTGGCCGCTTTGGCTAAGACAGTAGAAGCGTCCGTTGCAAAAAGTCCATTGATTTGGATTGCTGCTGACGAACGGTTCCAGGTTCTCGAAATGGTTGACGGTCCATGAGGCATCCCCGCACTACAAAAAAATAATATATTTGTAACAGAATAAAGTTCACGTAGCTAATGTAATTCCATTCTTAATTCCGTCTCTAATGTCATTAGTAACGGAAAAAGTAAATTTAGAGACAAAAAAGTTTTGTTACAAAAATAATTTTTTCTTGTAATGCCGGGGCGATACGTGCAGATTGCGATCACATGGGGCTGAAGTTGCATTAGCGCAATAACAATGCAGCCGGGAATGTTCGGAGCGGCTGAAAAGGCGGCTAATTTACTTGGAAAATCCATTTGTGTAATTCAACGACCTTCTGAGTGTACGGGATGTAGAGTGTAAGCGAAAGGCGTATATGGCTGTAGAGCAACAACCAACTGTTGTTGCTGTAACAGATGAGTCTGTACTTTATCCCGGACAGCCGTAGGTAATGCGACTTGCGCTCATGCGGGTCGTAGAACTCGTTTTTTTTACTCATCCACGAGTGATACATGATCCAAGGGTGTTTGTTGGATACTCGGATGGACTTTGCCACAGCCATCCATCTATGGCAGACGCCGGACGCCTGGAGGTTGTCTACCAGGCTTAGGCGCGTGAGGATGTTTTGCAGAAGTTCGACTGGAATATTCGACTCTTCAGCCTTTTTATTGGGCCTCCTCGGAAAATCGTTGATTCTGAGGCATGATTTGTTACTTCTTTTCCCAGAGATCCTGCAAGCATTATATTGGAAATAATTAACTTATTAGACCGAGAAACAAAATGAACTAACAAATGTCGGACGATAAATATGCAAATTAAATTTGCCACGTACATGTAGAATTTATGCGGCCTAAATGCACTAATACGCGACATTCTTTATCATAAAATGGAAGTCTTATGACCTGCGAACATTTTTGCACTTTCATTCTATGTAAAGAATTAATATGATCTCATAAACACACGTGCATACATATAAAGTGATCTTAGTTATCTTCTAATATAAAGCAGCTTTGACCGTTATTTCTTCACAACTACCTAGGACACGGCCACGTGCCAAAGACAACAGCCATACGTTGTCACAAAAGCACATTAAAGAGGACACGCATCTAAAAGAATTTTGATCTATCATCTTACCGTTATAACGTTGTAAAAAAAAAAAGAACCGTTATACTGTTGTAAAATTAACATAAGTATTTATGAACTACAAGACTAGCTGATTGGCTGGATCAAAGATTTAAAACCCTCTTTTTGTGGAAAAGCGAGTGTTCCAAGTCGATAAAAAAAGCCCTAAGACATAGAACATCCTTATTTTCTAAACCAAAAAATGTATGCTGAAATAGGGGTAAATTAGCATATACTGTTGTAAAACTTAAATTAGGAAGCTTTCTGTTTGGTATTCCTAGAATGATTTTAATGGCTTTAGGGACTAGTGGCATAACCAAGAAATATGGGTAGCAAACTCATTTAATTGGCCTTATGATTTATGTCTGGTATTTAAAGAGACAAGCATTTTAAATATTTGTAAGAACTGGTTTGAAAATAGGTAGAGAAAAAATAAGAGAGTTCTTTTGCATTGGAAACTTTTTGCCTTCTCAGTTGCCAATAATTTGGTATCAAAGCCTTGTGTGTGAGGTGAGCGTAAGACAACTGACCTGCTTCAAGAGAGCGCTGCAGTGTGTGCAGGCGAGAAAAGGAGCAACCAACGGCTTCGTAAGGTTTGCAAGTTGGGTTTAAACACCTGAGAAATGGCAGGTTTGACCAATGGCATCCTACTACCCAAGTTGACGAAAGATGCTAACTATGATAATTGGAAGGTGCAAATGAGGGCCCTTCTTGGCTCACAAGACAACTCGGATGTGGTCGAGGCTGGTTATGAGGAACCAGCGAACACAATTTGGTTGTCAAACGCCCAGTTGAACGCATTGAAGGCTGTTCGAGCTAAAGACAAGGCTGCTCTGTATCTACTATATTAGGCTGTTGACGAATCTGGTTTTGAGAAGATAGCCAATGCAAAATCTTCCAAGGAAGCATGGGATACACTCGAAAAGGCAAACAAAGGAGATGAACGGGTGAAGCAAGTCCGACTTCAAACCCTTAGGGGCGAGCTGCAAAATATGAGGATGAAAGAGGCCAAAAGCGCATCCGAGTTCGTTACTCGAGTGGAGACCGTGGTGAACAAGCTAAATCAGAATGGTGAGAATCTTTCATCAAACCTGAGTTATTGAAAAAATTTTGAGGTCATTGAAAGATGATTTCGAGAATATCGTCTGTGCAATTGAGCAGTCCAAGGATTTATCAACACTCACTCTTGAAGAGCTTTCTGGGTCGTTAGAAGCGCATGAACAGAGAAAGAAAAATAAGAAAGGAGAATCTCTCGAACAAGCTCTACAGGCGAAGGCGACAATAAAAGACGATAAGGTACTTTATACTCAGAGTACCAGAGGCCGAGGAAGAGGGAAAAGCCAAGGTGGTAGAGTAAGAGGAGGATGAGGAAATGAGCAAGTCGGCCAACAGAACTAGCATGGGCGAGGTCACGCTCGAGGTGGGTGGACAAACGCAATTAACAAAATTGAATTCTATAATTGTGGAAAGTATGGGCATGTTGCAAAGGATTTCTATTCAGTAAAATGCTACAATTGTGGAAAGTTGGGGCATATTTCCAAATATTGCAGGTCCGAGAAGAAAACGGAGGAACCAACCAATTTGCTTGCCGAGGAAGAAGATGAAGGATTTCTGTTGATGACAAACATTCCAGAAACGGAGGCCAAACCAAGCTGCTATGATAATTCGGTTTGGTACTTGGACACCGGTCCAAGTAACCACATGTGTGGTGACGAGAGTTTATTCAAAACACTTTCAAACATGGAGTATGGATCTGTTTTCTTCAGCGATACTTCAAAAGTAGCTGTCAAAGGACGAGGAACGATCTGGTATCAGCAGGAAAATGGACGAATCGGAGAAATCAAGGACATATACTACGTGCCAGAAGTAAAAAGAAACATAATGAGCATGGGACAAATAATGGAGAAGGGACATTCAGTTTTGATGAAGGACCGAGAACTACTATTGAAAGATAAGCTCGGGAGGCCCATTGCACGGGTAAAGATGAAAAGGAATCGTATGTACAAAATTGAGCTGAAAATTATTCAAGTCAAATGCATGCAACTTGGTATGGAAGATGAGGCCATGAAGTGGCAATTGGTCACCTTCACTTCGGTGGTTTGAGCGAGCTAGTGAAGAGGGAGATGGTGGTCAGACTTCCTATAACAGAGTTCGAAAAGAGGTTTTGTGAAGAATGTGTGATCGGAAAGCAGGCGAGATCTCCTTTCCCAAGGAGTTCTGAGTACCGAGCAAAGGAGCAAGTCAAACTTATTCACACCGATCTGTGTGGGCCGATAACTCCAAAATAATTCAGTTGTAAAAGGTATTTCGTCTCTTTCATTGATGATTTCTCAAGGAATACATGAGTTTATTTTCTAAAAGAAAAATCAGAAGTGTTTGAAACTTTCAAGAAATTTAAAGTTAAGGTGGAAAAGGAAACAAGCAAAGTCATCAAAGCAGTTCGATCCGACAGAGGAGGGGAGTGCACTTCTGCTGAGTTCCACAAATACTGCAAGGAGCGTGGGATCAGACGTTTCTTAACAGCCCCATATTCTCTGCAGTAAAATGGTGTGGCTGAACGAAAAAATTGAACCATTCTCGATATGGTTCGATTTATGTTGAAAGGGAATAATATGCCAAAGAAGTATTGGGCAGAGGCGGTACAGTGCGTAGTCTATGTGCAAAATAGATGTCCACATGCAAAGCTAGGCAAGAAGACACCTCAGGAGATTTGAAGTGGTAAGAAACCAAACGTCTCTCATCTGAAGGTATTCGGTAGCGTTGCTTATGGGCAAGTGCCGAGTCAGCATAGAACTAAGCTGGAGGATCGGAGCAGGAAATACGTCGTTATTGGGTAAGATGAGAACTCCAAAGCTTATAAATTATTTGATCCTGTCAACAATAAAGTAGTGGTAAGCCGAGATGTTCATGTGGAGGAAACAAAGCAATGGTGCTGGAGTAACCCGGGTGAAGAAGAAACTAGCTTGGAGTTTTTTCTGCCTTCAACAGCAACAATCAGCGAGTCCTCAGATGAAGAAATGGAGCCACAACAGCCTAGGATGAGAAGACTGCAGGATATATACGACACTACAAATGAAGTTCATGTTGTATGTCTTTTGGCCGACTCCGAAGACTTGAAGTTTGAGAAAGCTGTCCAAGATGAGAAGTGGAGAACAGCCATGGATGAAGAAATCAAGGCAATTGAACGCAACAAAACATGGGAGCTGACTGACATTCCTAAAGGAGCTCGAGCCATTGGAGTGAAGTGAGTGTATAAAAAAAAGATGAATGCTGAGGGAAAGGTTGAGCCCAATAAAGCTTGACTTGTGGTAAAAGGTTATAGACTAAAGGAGGGGATCGACTATGATGAAGTTTTTGCTCCTGTCACAAGAATGGAATCGATCCGACTACTGATCTTGTTAGCTGCTCAGAATCAATGGCCTATCCTACAGATGGATGTAAAGTAAGCTTTTTTTTAAATGGAATGCTGAAAGAAGAGGTGTACGTCGAGCAACCTGTCGGGTATATGAAGAAGGGAGACGAAAAGAAGGTGCTAAGGTTGAAAAAGGCCTTGTACGGGCTGAAACAGGCTCCTCGTGCCTGGAATCAGAGAATTGACGGGTATTTCGAGAAAAATGGGTATGAGCAATGTCCGTACGAGCATGCCCTGTACACTAAGAAATCTGAAAATGATACGATGGTAGTAGCTCTCTATGTCGCCGACCTCATATTCACTGGTAGCAACACAAGACTACTTAAGGAATTCAAGGAAGTAATGAAGAAAGAGTTCGAGATGACAGACTTGGGTCCGATGAAGTATTTTCTTGGGTTGGAGGTGAAGCAGTCGAAGGAAGGGATCTTTGTTTCTCAAGAAAGATTTGCAATTGAGATTCTAAAGAAATTCAGAATGGAGGACTGTAACCCTATCTCAACTCCAATGGAACCTGGAACAAAACTTTCAAAACTTGATGGTGGAGACCGAGCTGATCTTGAAAGATATCGAAGTTTAATCGGTAGCTTGAGGTATCTTGCCAATACGAGACCTGACCTTATGCCAAGTGTTGGAATAACAAGCAGATTTATGGAGGATCCAAGTTATACACATTGGAAGGGCCTGAAGAGAATTCTGAGGTATGTTCGAGGCACCCTATCACTGGGTCTTTTTTATGCAAAATCAGATGATTACTGACTAGTGGGTTACTCGGATAGCGATTGGTGTGGCGATGCTGATGACCGAAAAAGTACTTCGGGTTATGTATTCTTGCACGGGAGTGCAGCCTTTACATGGCTGTCGAAAAACCAGCCTATTGTAAGTTTGTCGACCTGTGAGGCTGAGTATGTGGCGGCTTCCTGGACTGTGTGTCATGCAGTCTGGCTTTCAAATCTTCTAAGGTATCTGGGAGGTATCTGGCTTTCATTTTTTTTTATTTTTTAATTTGCAGTTAGGTCAGTTTCAGCTCCTAGTCAAATGTTTATCCCTTTTTTGCATACTGTTTAATGATTTCTTCCATGGGATTCCGACACACTAACAGACGTCAACATAGAGCAACTACATTAATTATGTGTAGGTTGTCGGTGAGTTAAAAGAGATTGGGTTTAAAACATGTAATCTGTACATGGAAATCAACATATATATACATAGCAAGGGTTATGATAATAGTGTATAATGATTGTTTTTTTTTTTTTTTGTTATTTATGATAAGAAAATACAAAAAGGTGGTGTATTTTTTCGCTAAAAATGGAAATAAGAATATTTTTTTTATAACAATTGA